CGCATGTTGGTCCACAGCCGGGTCTGCTTCCTGTACGGAGTCCCGTACTTGCAGTAGGTAACGTTTATCCAGAGCAGGCGCTCCATGAACGCGCGGGTCTTCAGCAGCCCGGTGGCCGGATTAGTGCACTAATGATCTCAAGCACGCTGAGCACCAGCGCGTCGCCCTCCTCAATTCGTCGCGGGCGCTTCGTCAGAGCTCGGCTGCGGCCAAGAGCGCAACCCTCGCCGCTCTGGAGCGGGTCAACAAGGCGCGCAAGGAGCTGGAGGAGGCCTCCAGAGAGCTCCTCGCTTTGCTGAACCTGCAGGGCACCGCCGACTCGCTGATGCGGTAGACTTCCAAACAGAATCCCCCAGAACAGAAATAAGGCGTGCGGTACTTGTTCGCCCGACCGAATATTTATTATTTTTTTTATAGAAAGCAATTTATTCGGCTCAAACCCATTCGCGCCTGAACGCATCCGGGGCCGCCTGGCTCGGTCCGGGCGGCGCCTCTGGAGGAGCCGCGCGGGCGTAGCAGCAGGTCTTCACCATTGATGCCCTGCGGCGGCTGGTGGTGGACCAGGTGTTCGGCTGCCCTTCCTCGCGGTCAGCTTCCAGATCCTGCTGACGCGCCGGCCGCAAACGACGAGGATGAGGATAGGGTGGAGTTCACGCTCTACTTCCTCAAGCTGGCGCCGTGGATCGTGAGGCCCGCACCCCCGTTGGCCCGCGCCGCAACCGTGACGCAGGACGAAGTGGCGTGTTTGCTGACTGCTCCCTCGCAGCAGCTGGCAGACATGCCCGCGCCCCCGCCGCCCAAACGAGGTGGGAGGCTGCTGGAAGGAGCTGCCCGAGACCCTGGCCAAGAAGAAGGCCATCTGGAACCCTCGGAACGAGGACCACCGCTGCTTCATGCGGTGCGTCCTCGCGCACTGCCTCGAGGTCGACGGGCGGTCAAAGACCGTGAGCTGCTCGGGCTCCTTCTTCTACCCCGAGACGACCCGCTGCGGACGCCGCCCCGCGGGCTGGCAGCCCGCTCTGGCAAAGGTGGGGGTGGACTTCTGCGAGTCAGCTTTGGGGTTGGGTGTGATACTGTTGCTGTTGTCGTCTGCTTTCTTTTTTTCGGGGGCGCGAAGGGGACGGGGCGTGAGTGAGCTTTGGGGTGTGCGAAGGCGAGTCAGCTTTGGGGTTGGGTGTGAAACTGTTGCTGTTGTCGTCTGCTTTCTTTTTTTCGGGGGCGCAACGGGGGACGGGGGGGTGAGTCAGCTTTGCAAAAGGGGACGGGGGGCCTGCCGACGGACCGCCCCGTGGGCTTCGACGACACCTGGAGACGCCGAACTCGGCGTAGCATGACTCGGCGGGAGCTGGAGCACAGGGCCGCCACTCACTGCAGGGAGTGCCTCGCGTCCTTCGAGACCGTAGACCGGGGGCTCCACCGCTGCCATGGCACCGGGGGGTCTCCTCTCTTTACAAGGGGTTTCCCAAATGGATTCTATTCCACCTGGTAGGCTCCTGGCACTCGTCCGTCCAGGAAACGACCTCGTCCTGCGAAGGATTCGAAACCTAAAACGCTGCGTGCAGGCGTGCGGCTGCAACATAACGACCCCTAGATACGCTTGCAAAATGCCCCGCAGCTGCGTTTCTGCAAGGCGAGCTAAAAAACAATGGAAAAAAAGGGAAGCCAGCCAGAAGCCAGCCAAAACAACGCCCAGCCAGAAACCAGCCAGAAACCAGCCAGAAGCCAGCCAAACGCCAGAAGCAAGCCAGCCAGAAGCCAGCCAAACCCAGCCAGAAGCCACAGCCAGAAGCCAGCCAGAAGCCAGCCAGACCAAACCCAGCCAGCAGCCAGCCAAAAAGCCAGCCAGGGTTGTTGTTTCCTGGACGGACGAGCGCCAGGAGCCTACCAGGTGGAATAGAATCCATTTAGGAAACGCCCTCTAAAGAGAGAGGTGCCATGTTCTATGTTCCCGCTTTCGCGCGCCGCAGTCTGCAGCTGTCGCTGCAGTCGCTGCGCAGTTCGCGCAGTTCGCTGCTCCGGGCTGCGCATTATTGATCCAATGTTGCGCCATCGTTGCTTCAAGACAATTCAAATTTGCTTCAAGAATGGGAAGCCCCTGCCGCGCCACCTGCTCGGCATCGAAGCCTCCGCTGCCGCGCCACCTGCCCGGCATCAAGGGCCACGCCAGCCTGCCGAGTCACACGGATCATACGCATCATGCGGTCATACGGTCATACGGTGGCGGCTTGGCACCGCGCCACCCAAGGTCGAAATTCTTCCCCAGGAAAAAAATGTAAGTCCTCCCGCGGGGAGGACTGCAGCGCGCTTTTTTGCCAATGTGAAAACAAAACAGGTCGCACTTATTTTGTCTTGAGCCATGCAAGCATCAACGACATTCATTGACTGCCTATACAAGTCTTTACGACCAAGCTCAGGTGTACATGTGGTGTCATGGTTAACACCCCGCCTTGGACAAAGCCAGTTTCTTGCAAACGCTACGTCCAACTTGCACGCAAACAAAATGCACTTGCCAGGATTGATTCGTGAAACCCAAGTCTGCTGTACCTTCGCATGCCACGCTCACCGAAATCAAAACATCTCATCTGAAAATCGCATCATAAGAAATTCATGTTGCAAACGATGTGGAAATCTCTTGGCTGACGCACTTGAGGTTGCTGCGCCACACGCAAGCCAAAGCATGTGTGGCACTTCTTGCAATAAGCTGCTGCTGCTTGTGCTCATCAAGCCACTTGCAGTGTGACATGTGGTAGTGACGTCCGTTCGGTGCGCAATCGCCTCTTCTCACACATCTGCTGGAAACACCAAAACCAACCTTGCACAGAAAATTTGGAAACCGAATGCTGCAAATCCGAAAGTCACGCACATGTTCTCCACAACCTCTCGGTCTGCCGCATAAGAAAAAACACAAAAAAAAAAGAAAAAAAGGGTCCCCAAAAAAAGGGGTTCCAAAAAAAAAAGGGAAAAGGGGTTTTCTTTGGCAAAGCTTGACATCGCTTGAAATGCAACCTGAGCCAAATTGCGGCGCTATCTCGTTCAGCCAACACCTGCAGCGTTTTAGGTTTCGAATCCTTCGCAGGACTCGTTTTCTGGACGGACAAGTGCTAGGAGCCTACCAGGTGGAATGAATCCATTTGGGAAACTCCCTCTAAAGAGAGACATTGGGATCAAATCGCTCCTTGCTCCATTTTTGTCGCAATATTGCCATAGCCTTTAACAAGGCAGCCTGCGGTTGTCCAAGTTCCTTGTCCAAGTTTCCCGAACTTGGACAAGTGGCTCCCGAACTTGGACAAGTGGCTCTGCAAGAGGAAACGGGTCCTGCCTGGAATTGGGGCCTGCTTGGAATCGGGGCGAGAGCTGTAACACGGCAGCTTGCAGTTGTCCAAGTTCCTTGTCCAAGTTCCGGGCGAACTTGGACAAGGGCTCTGCAAGAGGAAAACACATGATAAAATTTGTCCAAGTTCCTTGTCCAAGTTCTTGTCAAGTTCGGGTTCCGCCCGGGGTGAGGCACACGGAATTGGGCCGCCTGAATCGGGGCCGCTTGGAATCGGGGCGAATGCTGAGAGAGCTTGTGACCGGCAGCCTGTAGTTGTCCAAGTTCCTTCTCAAGTCTCCGGGCGAACTGGACAAGTGGCTCTGCAAGAGGAAAACACGTGATAAAATTTGTCCAAGTTCCTTGTCCAAGTTCTTGTTTCCGCCCTGGGCCGCTGTGGAATCGAGCCCTGCCTGGAATCGGGGCCTTGGATTGGGGCGTAATACTGAGAGAGCTTGTAACACGGCAGCCTGCAGTTGTCCAAGTTCCTTGTCCAAGTTCCCCGGGCAAACTTGGACAAGTGGCTCTGCAAGAGGAAAACACGTGATAAAATTTGTCCAAGTTCCTTGTCCAAGTTCTTGTCCAAGTTCGGGTTTCCGCCCTGGGCCAAGCTGTGGAATCGAGCCCTGCCCGGAATCGGGGCCTGCCTGGAATCGGAGCGCTTCTGCTCGATATTTAGACTCTTCTCCTTTGGAACCTGAACTTGGACAAGAACTTGGACAAGGAACTTGGACAAATTTTATCACGTGTTTTTCTCTTGCAGAGTCACTTGTCCAAGTTCCCCCGCCGAACTTGACAAGGAACTTGGACAACTGCAGGCTGCCCTGTTATTGTCACCGTGGGCCCAGGCGGGAGCCGCCTGGAATCGGGCGCTTCTGCTCGGATTTTTTGTTCTTTTTAATAACAAGACAACCAGAAGAAGAAAATATTAGGGTAAGAGAATTCTCCTCCGGGGGAGGAACCTGAACTTGACAAGAACTGGACAAGGAACTTGGACAAATTTTTCACGTTTTCCTCTTGAGCCACTTGTCCAAGTTCCCCCGCCGAACTTGAACAAGGAACAACTGCAGGCTGCCTTGTTATTTTATACCTGGAGCCAGCCTGGCATCGAAGCCTCCCTGCCACACCACCTGCCCGGCATCGGGCCGCGCCAGCCCGCCGAGTTGATCATACGGATCATACGGTCGGTCACGGCTTGGCACTGCGCCACCGCATAGAAGCCTCCACCCTGCGCGACCTGCCCGGCATCGGACGCGCCGTATGTGCAGTTGCGGACGGGGGAGAATACTATTGGTGAACACTCCATGCTCTTACAAGCAGGGCACGCAATGTGACCCTAATTCTGGGGTGACGGACACGGCCAATTTTCAGCCATGGAAGCATCAACTACGCGCAGACCGCCTTGGAAGCCAGCTAGACAACCTAGACACGCGTCTGGCCTTGGACCTGACGTCGGGCTCTCAGCGATTCTGCCACCCGCTCTCCCACCCGGAGTGCTGTCTGTCTTGCCACCGGCTTCCCACTCGGAGTGATCCCCGCTGTGCCAGCCATAATGCCAGCCGGAGCGCCAAGACCATGGCTCCACGGGCAAACCCTGTCTTTGTCTCTTGGCTGGCTGCTGCTGCGGGTTGTGACTGCTCTGCGACTGCACCACCGCTCGATGCAACTTCACACTATTGCCGTTATAGTACTAGCTAACGGTCGGGTTGTCGAACTGCCGGGCAGCAGTGGGAACCACGCGGAAGGCCAACACCTCTTTGCCGTCAACCATCTTGCGCAAGATCCGAAACTTGCTGTCCGGAAACGGCGCATCCTTGCGTAGAGATTGCTCTCGCTTGATAGCCTGGCAATTGGCGATCATGAGGAAAACGTCCGCTTGCTGTCGTGGCCCGCCGCAACAGCCCATGCGTCCAGCGCCGCTCCCAGCAACGAGTAGCCAATCCCCAACAGCTTGGACTGGCTTGACAGCACCTCCTCCTCCACACGCTTTCCACGAAACTTCAAGAGGACCGGATTCTTGGTGACGGGAGTGGTTTTCTGGAGGCTGCAAATAAACTCACGCCACGACGTGCCTTGCTTGGTGGTTTGGTGCTGAAGGGTCTGCTGAAACTCTGCAGGCACGCAGTTCGAAAGAACGAGGACTTGCTCTGCGCAGTACTGCGGCAGCCCCTCGTTGAAGTCGTACACAATGCTGACGAGAGCTCGAATCCACGGAGACATATTGAAGGACAAATCGCCCGATCCACCCAAAATTGCTTCCTGTTGCTCCTTGGAGAGTTCTATGAGCTCATCACTGGTGGGGAGATGCTTGTCGCTCGACCACTCCAGACCGGAGCTCGCCGGCTGCTGCTCTTGCGGGGCGGGATGCGTGTGAGTGACTCCGCCGTCGTCCTGTGACCTGGCTCTCGAAGTGCTGAAACACTGCCGCCAGCGACTGAAGCCTGAAGAGCTTCTCTTGCTTGCGGCACCATACGCATGTCAGGGCATCGTAGGCCTGCGGAACCACCAGCCCCTGGCCCACCAGGCACTGCACCTGCAGATCGTTGCACTCCGTCTTGTCCTTGCCCTTCTGATTCGTGTAGAGCTCCATCACCTTGCGCGCCACTGTGTCCACGCGAGCCAGGCGCTCCTCACGAGCAATGAAAAATAGTCACCCCCGCTCGAAACGCTATTTGCAACACACAAGATTAGAAACCCGGCCGGCCTCACTAAGGCGCAACACCTGCATCTCAACCGCCAGGTCTGCAAGCGACCACCTGCGCGGCGCTGGCCTGCACGCGGTGACCTTTGGCTGCCTGATGAAAAGCCGTGTCGGCCCTCCTTCCAACCTTGGTTCCAACCCCAACATCGCGTAGCCAGCAGCCAATGCTCCGTCTGCGCGGGATGCTTGTTCCCGCTGTGGATTATGTGGCCGTCAAATGGCAGCGAAACGAAAGGGCCGTCCGTGTCTGGAATTGGCTTGGTCAACTGCATCACTTGGAGGGCTTTGTCGGTGACCAGCTTGTCCTCCTTCAGAAGGTACACCCAGCCATACGGGCCGGCGTCGACCCAGCCAGGCTCTAACTTGTTCAGCTGGGCACCCTTCTTCAGCATCTGGTAAAACTGCCTGCAGAAAGTAAGGTACCCCTTGCCTTTCGCCTTGCTTGCAAGCTCGGATTGCCGAGTCACCATGGCCTCTCCCAGCACCCGAGCCAGCAGCGGGTGCCGCGGGGAGCAAATGATCAAGCCCTGAAACACGTATTCGTGGTTGAATGTGCCCAAAGACGTCACCATGAATGGAGGACACTGAGCGCCTGCCCGGGCTTCGCCCTGGCGGCCCAGCTCATGCTGCATGCAAGCGTTTTGTAGCTCGAGAAGCCACCTCCAGAGCGGCTGAAGCAATCCGCACTTGAAGTCCAGGTATACTCCACCGCGGCGGTACATATGCAGGTAGCGCCAAACATCGGCGCTGGCACGGCTTGATGTATTCTCGAAAAAGATTCACAGATTGCGTAGAGGCAAAGTTGCAAAACTCTGCATACTGCTGGCCATCGTCGACAAAGGTTCGATCGAACTCTCTCGCGAAGTAGCCGGCGTGCCTGCGCACCCGACGATCCTCCCGACAGTACGTCTGCACCAGCCGTCGCGGCAGCCACCACAAGGGAATCTTTTTCTCATCGTGCCTCCGTGCCCACAGGCTCGTTTCGCTGCAGGCATTCGCCCAGCCGCTGGCGATCTGCAACAACGTCCTCATGCTCCCAGTGACGCAAAAGCTGCAGCTCCGAGCACAAGTTCACCAAACTTCTCCGATGCATAGCCGTGCACTTGTCTCCGGTCTTCGGAACGTTGTTCCACCCACAGCAGATGACGACCGCCAGGTCGCAGTCCACCACGTCGTCCTCTGCGCGCGTCGCGCCCGGGCGCACAGCCAACTTCGCCGCCTCCTCGATCACGTGGCAATAAACTCGGCGCTGTCGACCCTTGTCGCCACAGAAGTGCAGGCCGCGCCGATAGAACGGCTCGCTGTCCTGCGCCCAGCTGTCCTGCATGTCTAAAATGGTCTTGCTCGTCTCTCGCACGCGCCAACTGCTGCGATGTTTATGCAGGTCGCCATAGATCGCAGTGCCTTCCGGCACGCTTCCGCGTGCCGCCACAAGGCTCACCGCCAGCCTCTGAGCTAGAAAATCTGTCACATCCGGGAATCCGAGGCGCGCGGCAATCTGCCTCCAGCCGCACACGAGCTGCTTGGCCACGCTCGGAAGCGTCTCGCCAGCACAACAGGAGCCGGTCACCAGAGACCCACCGCACCACCAGACGACACTCACGCCTGCTCGAAGAATCCACAAGCTGCACGCCGTACTTGTCACCGAACCCCACCGCTGCGCTGTCAGCCAAGGATAAGATGGGCGCGCACTCAGGCCTCATGGCCGGGCCGACAAAAACTACGCCGAGTCAGCCAAACTGGCAGGGCTCGAACCTGAGCGGGCCAGGCACAGTACACGCATGCAATCAAAAAGCCGGACACTCAACTCCACGAAAGCTGCGATCCCCGCCCTTGGTGGAAACCAGTGGGGTCGGTCTTTCGACTTCGACTGCCGCTTCACTCGCACCGGCACTTGCGATGCCCACAGCCAACCAGAGCTGGTCACTCTCGAGCAGCCGCGCTTGCCTTTACAACAAAAACGCTCGCCAAAACAATACAAGAAAACACGCAGTCTACAAGTCCCGGCCTTCGGCCTGGACGCAACCCCGGCCTTCGGCCTGGGCGCACGCCTACTCCCGCCTGCTGCGTAACACATCTGGTCCAAACCGAATGCAGCTGAGCGCGGCACATGTGACATCAATCCCTTGCAATCGAAGACCTGAAGAAACTGAAATAACGAAACATGTGGACAGACATCTGATGCAAACCGAAGGCAGCTGAGTGCGGCACATGTGACATCAACCCCTTGCAATCGAAGATCCAAGAAACTGGAATTACGAAACATTTTGAAACACGTTTGCTCCAAACCGAATGCAGCTGAGCGTGGCACATGTGACATCAATCCCTTGCAATCGAAGACCTCAAGAAACTGAAATTACGAAACATTTTGAAACACATCTGGTCCAAACCGAATGCAGCTGAGTGCGGCACATGTCACTTCCATCCCTTGCAATGGAAGACCTCAAAAACTGGAATTACGAAACACATCTGGTCCAAACCGAATGCAGTTGAGTGTGACACTCGTCACAAATGCAACCTGCTGGCCGGTTGCATCCTGCTGGCACACACGATGGTCAAGTTGACTTGCAGAAGCCCTGCCTCGACGGGTCTTCTCGACAGGCTCGATGTTCAGTCTGGTCTGGCCTTCGGCCTGATCTGCCTTGAGGATCTTTCTCTGCACCTCCAATGGCATAAGAAACAAAGCAAACCCAAACATCGCTTTCCCGAGACGCTGTCAGCAACAAAGAATGAAAAACAAACCGAAACCCTTCCCGCTCCCGGACGTTGAAGCGCACAAGCGCTCAACGTCCCTCGCGCCCCAAGCGCACAAGCGCTGGAGCACGAGCGGAGCGGAAGGAGTCTCAGCGTTTATTACGAAACAGTTTCAAACACATCTGGTCCAAACCGAATGCAGCTGAGTGCGGCACAGGACCCCTTGCAATCGAAGATCCAAGAAACTAGAATTACGAAACATTTTGAAACACGTTTGCTCCAAACCGAATGCAGCTGAGCGTGGCACATGTGACATCAATCCCTTGCAATCGAAGACCTCAAGAAACTGAAATTACGAAACATTTTGAAACACATCTGGTCCAAACCGAATGCAGCTGAGTGCGGCACATGTCACTCCCTCCCTTTATGGAAGACCTCAAAAACTGGAATTACGAAACATTTTGAAACAACCAGAATGCAGTTGAGTGACACTCGTCACAAATGCAACCTGCTGGCCGGTTGCATCCTGCTGGCCGGCGTCGACCGAGTCAGGCTCTAACTTGTTCAGCTGGGCACCCTTCTTCAGCGTCTGGTAAAACTGCCTGCAGAAAGTAAGGTACCCCTTGCCTTGCTTGCAAGCTTGGATTGCCGAGTCACCATGGCCTCTCCCAGCACCCAAGCCAGCAGCGGGTGCCGCGGGGGTCAGCCCTAAAACACGTGTTCGTGGTTGAATGTGCACAAGACGTCACCATGAATGGAGGACACTGAGCCTGCCCGGGCTTCGCCCTGGCGGCCCAGCTTGTGCTGCACGCAAGCGTTTTGTAGCTCGAGAAGCCACCTCCAGAGCGGCTGAAGCAAGCCGCACTTGAAGTCCAGGTATGCTCCAAGTCTTCGCAGATGCAGCTGGGCAGTGCAGTACCCTCACAACCTATGAAGGGAGCCTCTCGGAGCACTTCCACTTCCTCTCGGTCCTTGCGGGGACCTACGACGACACGGTGCGCAACATCGACATCGGCCGTGGGCTAGAGGCCCAGGCCCGGCAGCCGCTGCGGCACGTGGCAGGACGGCAGGCACCGCTGATGGAGGGGCACGAGGGTCAGCCAGTCACGCGAGCTCTACAGCGTTCCTGCTGCGCTGTGCAAAGATCGCGCGCGCGGCTTCCATGCGCGGCGCCCCTGCTGCGCCAGCAACGGCTTCGTCTCTTCTACGCGGTAGACCGGCGCCGGGTGGCGCAGCGCCTCCAGCGCCCGCAGCCGCAAGCGCTTCGGCAGCCGTGAGCGGGCAGTCCGTCTTTACCTGCGCGCGATGCGCCGGGCCTTAACCGCCATGCGCCGTTGCTCAGCAGCCTCCGAGTGTAGACGAAGTCCGCACCGAGAGAAGTCCGCGCCAGCGCCGTCCAGCTTGCTAGCTGCTGCGCACGCTGTAGACCACCTCCGTACTGTGCGCCCTCGCGTTCACGCTGGGCTTGCCATGCGCTCCTCGCCCTCGGCCACGCGCGTCCCTGCGCAATGTGGTCCCAGCGGCAGACGCCCAGGTCCAGCACGAAAACAGGCAGGACTGCCTTGTCGCAGCCCACAAAGCCCAGATGGGACGCACGCCTGCGCCTCAAAGACAGCTTGGGGCTCCGGGCGTACTGCATAACGCCGGGCGCCACCCGGCTCTCCAGGCTGGTGGGCTGCACGCTCAGCGTTTTCTCGCTGTGGCAGTCAGCGCCTGCCGCAACAACTTGCCACTCCTTTTTTACGGGTCCATTTTTTTTGCTCGGCCGCGGGCCGCGCGCGTTCTCCGGGGCATCTGTGCAAGTTGCAGCCGGGGACTACAAGTGCCCGCTTCGGCACTGCCCACCCGCCCCCCCGCGGAGTTGTGCTTCTTCAGGATGTCCGACCTCACACGCACGACAGCCTGACAGGGAATGAAAAAAACTTCGGGGGTTTGGGGGGGTGCACATGCCAAGCACAATCAAGCAAAATCATTCCAACAACATTCAAGAAAACCATGCAACACCATGCAAAAGCAAGCAAAATCATGTTATGCCAAAAAACCATGCAAAATCGCAAAACAAGCTATTCTCCCCGACCGTCTGTGGATGCCCTGAGAAGGGAATCGGGAAACAAAAAACCGTGTAAAAAGCCATTCGTAGATGTGCCGAGCAGGCATGACAGCAGACTCAGACAGATGGTAACACGACAGCCCGCAGTTGTCCAAGTTCCTTGTCCAAGTTCGCCCGGGGAACTTGGACAAGTCGATCTGCAAGAGGAAAACACGTGATAAAATTTGTCCAAGTTCCTTGTCCAAGTTCTTGTCCAAGTTCAGGTTCACATCGAACCCCGGCACAGCAGGACGATCGGCATGGTGCGACCTGCTGAACTTCGGTCGCTCCCCCGCGGACAGCGAGCCTGGGATATTCGTGAGGGAATGCCTCGTGCAGTACCACCCCTCCGAACAGTCTTGTTATTAGAAAGAACAGTATAAGTATCCCAGCAGGAGCGCCCCGATTCCAGGCACTCCCACAGCTTCGTGCGCCTGGCCCCGAGGAACCCGAACTTGGACAAGAGCTTGGACAACGTGTTTTCCTCTTGAGGAGCCACTTGTCCAAGTTCGCCCGGGGAACTTGGACAAGGAACTTGGACAACTGCGGGCTGCCGTGTTATAGACTCTCTCAGTATGCTCCGATTCCAGGCCCCGGTGCCAGGGCCCGACGTCGTTTAACACTGGTCCGCCCAACCCGTTTGATACTGGTCGCCCAACGCGTTTGATACTCGCCCAACGGCTGTTGGGACGCCGAACTTGGACAAAGGTGGATGTGTCTTTATTTCTGAGCCCCCCCTTTTGTTCCCGTGTGGGAAATTCACTTTTTTTTGTTGGTGAATTTCCGTGT